TGAGCCAGCCAGGTGCCCCCAAATTTTGTTTAAAAACTAATTTTCAAAAAATAAAAACAAAACAAAAAAATAAAAATAAAAACGAATTTTCACCCTATTTGACCAACACAGTATACATTCTCTGCAATAGTAGAAAGGCTTATTATTAACACTTAATATGTCTGGGTTCTTTAAAAAGCTGTGTCAAGAAACATCTTTCAGTTTCTCTATCCACCAGAGTGGTGTGCACCCACACCACTGAATGTGACCAGAGGAAAACAGCCATGCTCATTGTCTCATTTGAAATTCACGTCTAACTATGTCAGCTGAGCCTTCATGTTGCCTTCCAGTTACAACAGTTTCCTGGTGCACGCCCTCTCCTAGATGCATGTTTCGTAGCTTCTCTTTTCTTTTCTAACCTCCAATATAATTCTCTCATGAGGACCTTGTTATGTATTCCATGGAGAAAATACAAGGAGTCAGAAGAGATGTCCCCCAAATTCCCAACACCATACTACCATGCCTTCCTGCAAATGGGCCCATGTTCCATCTGACGTGCTGCTGCTAGGAATGAACTAGGATCCCAGCGAAGACCATTCTCTCCACCTATGCTCTACATCCTCTACATCCTCTCACGTAGGCAGCCCTCCACATATTGTTTCTTCTACATCATCTATCTTCCTCTCTACTGAATCATTCTTGTATTTGAACTATCTCAAAAATTCTCTAAGAATTTTCTATCTCAAAAATCCTCTCGATCCCACACCCCCCTCCATTTATCTGCTTGTAAGAGCAATGTTTCTTGACCGAGTTGTCTATACTGATGGTTACCAGCTCCTCTTCCCTTTCATTTTCTTACTCCACTCCAATCAGGCTTTCCCTCACCAACATACCAAAATCGTTTTTTGACAAGGTCATTACCCCTCATTAAATCCAACAGTCACTTTCCGTTCTCATCTGACTTGACCCAATCCCCAGTATTTGCCAGAGTTCATTATTCCTTCCTGGAAATACTTTCTTCACTTGCCTTCCAGGATACCTTACTGGCTGTTCTTTCTTAGCTGCCTTTACTAGCTCCTCCTCATCTTTCCCATCTGTCAATGTGGGAGAACTCCAGGACTCGGTCCTAGGAATGCTTTTCTTCTTTGTCTACATTTGGACTCCTTCAGTAATCTCAATTAGGCTTAAATACCTGATGACATCGAAATTTTTATCTGCCTGGACTTTTCCCCTCAACTCTAGAGTTGAGTTTCCAGCTGCCCTTTCAACATCTCCATCTAGAAATCTTTTTTTTTTTAAGTTTATTCATTTATTTTTGAGAGAGAGAGAGAGAGAGAGAGAGAGAGAGAGAGAGAGAGTTAGTTAATTCAGAGGAGGGGCAGAGAGAGAGGGAAAGAGAGAGAATCCCAAGCAGGCTCTGCCCTGTCAGCATGGAGCCTGATGTGGGGCCCTAACCCACAAACCCTGATTTCATGACCTGAGCCAAAATCAAAAGTTGGACATTCAACCGACAGAGCCACCCAGGTGCCCCTCAATCTAGAAATCTAATAGGCATCTCAAATTTTACATGCCCAAATTAAAAGTTCCCATTTTCTTCCCCAAACCCGCTTTTCCCTAAGGAATCTCCTCATCAGTAAATTGCAGTCCCATTTTTCCAGTTTTCAGGTCAAAAGCTGTAGAATCCATTTCTTCTTTCATGCTCCACATCTGATCAATCAGAAAATCCTGTGAGTTCTACCTTCAAAATATATCCTCAATCCAACTGGACTCATCACTTCCATCACTAAGCTACTGTCATTCTCACCTGGATAATTCCAACAGCCTCCTAATTTCTCTGTGCTCCTGCCTTTGCTTCAATATAATCTATCCTCAGTAAGGTAGTCACAGTGATCCTTTAAAACATTCCTCAGCGTCACTCATCAACTCAAAACCTCCAATGACTTCTTATTCAGCACAAAAGCCAAGGCCCTTAGATTAGTCCTTTAAAATATGGACTCATCATTAATTTTGTGACCTCAATTCCCCTGCCCCCATTCTGTATTTTAGCCACCCTAGGTCCACAAACACACCAGGAATATTCCAACCTCAGGACAGTTGCCCTTGTGCCCTCTACCCGGAAAACTTGTCTCTCAGAGACATGTGTGGTCCACTCCCTCACCTCCTTCATGTCTTTACTCAAGTCTTACTTATCTTCTCAAGTCATCCTATTTAAACTATAGCCTCTCTAGGGGCGCCTGGGTGGTTCGGTGAGTGGAGTGTCTGACTTTGGCTCAGGTCGGGATGTTGTGGTTCGTGAGTTCGAGCCCCGCATTGGGCTCACTGCTATCAGCACATGGCCTGCTTTGGATCCTCTGTGCCCCACTCCCTCTGCCTCTCCCTCGCTCACATGCACATGCTCTCTCTCAAAAAAACAAAAACAAAAACCCCCCACTAAACTGTAGGCTTTCTAACCTCCCCACAGTTCAATCCTCTTTCCTGTCCTTATTTTTCTCAGTTATTAACAGCTAACATGCCATACATTTAATCTCTTTTCCTTATTTATTGTCTGCCTCCTCAGCAAACCTCTGAAGGGCTAGATTTTTATGGTTTTATACAGTGTTTAATCCTCAAAGCCTACAACGATGGCTGGCACAGAGTATGTGCTCAGTAAACATTTGCAGAATAAGTGAAGCTACACTATGTGGATAAATCATTTGGATTTCTGTATCTTAAAAATTAAGATTTCTTGGAAGATTGTTTAGAAGAAATTCTTCTTCTAAGTTTATCAAGCAGAAAAAAGTGACTATCTGCTGTTTGGTAAAAGCAGGGGATACTCCCAGGATTTTCATCAGTTATATCTATTCCAAAGACACTTCACAGTATCTCCTCATCTTACTTGCCCTTCTCCCTGAGACTCAAGTTACTCTAGCATTGTAGAGGAATAAAGGGTCAGACACATCCATAATACAAAATAGCATGCTCTGCTTCTACCACTGGTTTCAAATGGAATCCAAATTAGGAATGACTCAACGTAGTTCAGGGGCCAGCGGCTGAGCTGTTCAGTTCCCTAAGGACAAAGCCACAAGTCACTTCACAATCCAAACTGAATGGCTACTATGGATAGAGCCTCAGCAAAGACTCAAGAGCAAACAGGTTAAGGAAAACAAGGAATAGACTGGACATATGCTTACAGATTCAGAGAGTGGGAGTTGTATATCACTAATGGAAAGTGGGAAGGAGACAGGCAGGTTTGGGTACCTCCGGAAGTGAAAGAAGCGGCAGGCCACAGTGGAATCATCTTGCTCCTGTTCTTTAAACTTCCGATACCGCTCCAGGCGGCATTCCCGACACTTGTGCAGGTGAGGAGCCACATTGATGCATGACCCATCCTGCAGGAAGGGCTCTCCAGACTGCTTCAGCTTCTTCACCTTGCTCACATCTTTTAGCACTGACTGGCCAACTGTGGCAAGGGAAGGAGAAACAGTTGGTCATGATTGGTATTAATGAGACCCAATAACATAATCCTCTTGGGGATGAATTCTTGTCCTGACCTGGGTCATTGCTCCTTGCCATGGCTGGGCTTGTGTGCATCATGTCCAGCCGTGACAGAAAGGGAGGGAGCCAAGAGGCTTCAAAAGGAAGCTAAGGACCATGGAGAATTTGTGGGCATTGCCCCATTACAAGGAAACAACTCTGGTATGGGTGAGGAAAACCCAAGAAGGCAGAAGGTAGCCACTTTCCTCTAGACTCTCAGGATACGACTGTTCTACTAATCACAGACTGTTGGGCCCCCATGGTACCAATTCCTAATGACAATAGTAATGGACGCTTGCCTTTACACATTTCTGGGCTAGAAGCTCACAGCATAGGAGTTAATGGCTTTTGGAAGAGGTGTTAAAACCTGATATATGTAACAGAGAGAAGTAAATTTGAGGGGTGATTCTTTTTGCCTAATTAAGTCTATGAAAGGCTGCTATGTGAGAACAGAGTCCAGTACTCAGTAATTCCTCTAAAGTAAATTAAAGAGGATGGGCCAAAGAGAAGTAGAAAGGGATGAGAAAAACACCGGGAAAGAACTCTTGACTGAAAGGAGTATCAGGGGTCTTCCCTTTCTCTGTCCTCATTATACAGGTAGATATCCCTCTTACAGTGTTGGGGTTTAGATGCAATCCTGCCCTGAACCAACAGGTCTGATGAGGGGCCTCTAATAGGCCCTTTTGGCCATGTTATTCTATGTGATTACAGAACTTTCCATCAAAGAAAGGGCTTCTGCTGCCCAAGACCACAACAGGCATTCGAAGCCAGTGCCAGAGCCAAGCCCATGAATAAGCCCAGCAAGATCACCTTTCAGGGGGGCGGTCCGTGGCCGGCCCTTCGGGGCCTGCTTCCCTTTGCCTTTGCCCAGTAATAGCTCAGCACTGCGCTCCCCATTGGGGCCCAGCTTCCCCATCAGGTGCTCTGGAATCCCCTTCAGGCCAGTCTTGGCCTGCAGCTGCTCCTCAGAGTCGCTCAAATCTGATAGGTCACTGTTGGTACTGGAGTCCGAGTCCTGTCTGCAAGCCAAGCTTCGCTCATCCAGTGAGAACCTTTTCACAGCTTCAAAAGGAGCTTTGTTCTCCTGTGAAAAATCTGCTGGGGAGGACAGAAAGCTGCCTGAGTGCCTGCCAAAGACGTTACTAAAGGTTTTGAGGAGGGGATTGTCCTGTTGCCCAGGCCCCACAGTTGGCCTCTCCTCTGTGGGGCTGGAGGAGAGAGTAGGCATCTCAATGGGTTGGGTGAGGCTGCTGGTGGGTGAACTGGAGCGGCCATTCCCCATGGCAGAGAGGCTCGGACCCCCGGTGGTAAGAGTTGAGCCCAGAACACCAGACACCAGTTTGGAGGAGTCAGTTGTGATGAAGAGGGTTTTCTTCTTTGCTAAAGATGCCGAATCTGTAGAAGAGTGAGCCTCGGGCCAGCTGGGTGCTGCCTTAGAGGTGACAGTGGTAGCAGAGGAAGAGCTACCTGACGCCTGAGATGCAAAGCTGCTGAAAGGGCTATGTTCAACTTTCTCCACAAATGCTAGGAAAGGGTTAGAGGGCTCTTCTCGGGATAGTTTAGGGGGTTGTAAAAATAGATTTTCATGACTCTCTGGGGTGCGGGCGTTTAGGAGGCTCCGTGGGAAGGCTGGCGTGAGGGTGGGCATGGACTCTGCAGGCACCTTCCGGTCCACAGAGCTGCCAGCTTTAGAGCCTGATTTAGTGTCTGCTCCAAGAGCCGATCTGCCTTTACACAGGCTCTCAAGGCTTTGTTTGAATGAGTCTCGACTGGAGGAATCATCAGCCAAACTCTCTGAAACGGTAGTGAAGTAGTTACTGGTGGGTAAAGTTTGGGACATGCATTGAAAAAACAAGTTTTTGGAGAGATCAGAGTCTTTCTGAGACTCTGGTGCAGAGCTACAGCCAAAAGAGAAACCCAAAGGTTTATTCTCTGTGGCTAGAACCCCATTGGACTGGCTCCTTCCACTTCCAAAAGTCAAAGGTTGTGATGAACTTGGGAGAGATGCTCCAAATCCAGAAGAGGCCAGAACAGTACTTCTTGAATTCTGAAAAGAAGATAGCCTGAATTAGTAATTCTAGTTTCTCTTGACAACCTTACCACCTCTTTCCTGGGCCTAGGCCAACATTTCTTGTGGGTCAAATCAACTTTTCTCCCCTACAATTCCATGAAAACTGCTCTTATAACTAGATTTTTACCAGTGTTAGAGATGACACCTGCCACAGACCACACAGAGGGCATCTTTAACAAGGTGAGCTATAGACAGCAGGATGTCACTCACCCTGCCACTCCCTTGACTGTTAGCCAACTGGCTGTCACAGTACTAGGAGGCTGTGTAGGATTCTCAGTTTCTACTTGGAAATGGAAGATTCTACCAGGAATTGGAGAAAAGGATTCCTGAACAGACAGATACTAGCTTTTACTCTGAAATGTACCTAGTGACCCTGTTATATTAATCTCCCTCAATGATCTTAGCTACTGTCAAAGTTTCGATTTATTTAAACTAACTGCCCATTTTACAAAAGTGACTTCTGCCCCATAACAAGGAAAAATATTCTCTTTCTTAGTCTGAAACTCCCCAAGATGGACCCTTTTAGAATTTGGCCATTTATTTATGCGTCCAAATCAATCTAAAAGTTGAGTATCTACTTCAATTAAAGTTAGACCTAAAGGTGTTAAATTATCAGGGCATCTGGGTGACTCAGTCGGTTAAGTGCCCGACTTCAGCTCAGGTCAGGATCTCACGGTCCGTGGGTTCGAGCCCCACGTTAGACTGTGCTGACAGCTCGGGAGTCTGGAGCCTGCTTCAGATTCTGTGTCTCCTTCTCTCTCTCTGCCCCTTCCACATTCGTGCTCACTCCCTCTCTCTCAAAATAAAAGATGTTAAAAAAAAAAGATGTTGAATTACAAAGCACTCATTACTGAACCCTTCTGTTATCATTAGGATCTAACAAGCCTCCAAACAAGAAAAGTGTAGATACTGATACACCCACCAAACAAAAGCATTCAGCCTAACACATTGGAGAATGAAAAAAAAATTTTCCTTTTTTTCACCTTGTTAATGTTAACTTCTGCATGTAAATAAAAGGTGTGTGCATAAAGAAGGGGAGGATCACTTTCATATATATTATACAAAGAGGGAAACATTCACCCACAGGTGGGTTTGAACATTTAAAATCAACCTTCAGGTAGTAGTAGTAGGATACCATTAAACATTCATTTTAAAACATGGCAAATAAAAATTATTCTAGGAGTGCTTAACGGATATGGAGTTTCCTTCTGGGGCGATGAAAATCACCACTAGAAAGTGGTGATTCTTGTGTAACATTGTGGATGTACTAAATACTACAGTATTGGAACACTTTAAATGGTTAAAATGGTAAATCTAATGGTTATTACTTTTCCACATTAAAAAAAAATTATTCCAGATAAATGAAAGGGCTATTGTTCAAAAAAAGGTGTTAATTTACTTAAGGTACTCATTAAATATGCAAGAAGAGCCTACATTAGGACTTTCCTTCAGGATGGCACAGAGGCATGAGAACCAGGCATGCCACCTATGGCTTGTCTCCAGTTGACATTTGCTACAGAGGCTGCTTCAGGGCATTTTAGAGTTAAAAACTTAAAGTTGTTTATTATTTATTTATTTATTTTCTTTAAGGTAAACTCTACTTAGTCAAACTCACGAACCGGAGATCAAGAGTCACATGTTCTACTACCAACTGAGCCAGCCAGTAACCCCATTATACTTTTTCTTTTCCTTCCCACTAATCAACTACTACTGACTTAAACCCCTTCCCAACTAAAAAGAAGAGACAAGAAAGACACAGCCCTAAGAATTGTCTGTTGTTTCATTAAGCAGAATTTGGCCAGAAGCCTGACACCTGCATGACTCCAAGGATCCAGCATGGGTAGCTTAGGTTTCACTACTAAAGTTACCCTTTGAAAATAAATATACACATGAATGCAAAATAATTTGGATGGTCTTTCATTTTCCTTCACATGATTAAATTCTAAATCCTCTTCTTATAAGAAAGTGATGACAAATTGATTTCAACTTAATTTTTAGGGCAAGAAATTTCCTGGGGGCTATGTCCCTAATTTAGATGTGATACCATAATGAAACATCCTTTTCTGTACTTCTAAATCATATCCCAGGAGAATACCTAGGCTGACACATTACCAAAATCACTGATACAGTCACAGAAACTTCTCCAATCTATTTGGAAAAGAAATGCCCTTTGAATCCACATTTCTTCTAATCAGCTTTGCTACCCCAAGAATAATAGCATTCAGTGGATCTCCCAGCATATAAAATTTGGTCTACTTTGTAACCCCCTTTACATCTACACAGCCTTTGGCATGGAGTGGATTTTAATTAGTTTGAGCAATATAATGACTTATACACGGTAGAAATTCACTTAAGATCCTTACCTACTTCTCTTGGGAATGCTGGTCAACTAACAAAGGACAAACCATTTACCAGTATGAAATCTGCATTTACAAACCTTCTCTTCTGCCTGGACATTTCACCTCCCTGCCCATCCTTGCACACTAGGGATTCACAAATCACATTTGCTAGGAGGGGACGAACTCAGATGAAATGTATATGCCATGTTTTATCTGGCATTGTTATGCCTATAATGATTCCATCTTAAGATGTGAGCTCCTTCAAATAGGGATTTCAATTCCTTCTCTATAATATACAGTACTTAGCACACAGTAGTTTCTTATACATAATTAAAAAAATCATTTAGTACTTTTTGTATTTCATATTCCAGCTTGAGAAACAGCCAGTTTGAAAGAAAATGACTAGCATCATAAATCATTCTGTGGTGTACAAGAGTCAAGACTGTGAGAAATGATTTTGATATTGTTTCAAATTTAACTTGTATTTTTTTAGAAGTTTATCTATCTATCCATCCATCCATCCATCCATCCATCCATCCATCCATCTATCTATCTGTTTTTAAGTAGGTTTCATGCCCAGTGTGAAGCCCAATGTGGGGCCTGAACTCACAACCCTGAGATCAAGACCTGAGCTGAAATTAATAGTGGGACGTTTAACCGAATGAGCTACCCAGGTGCCCCAATGTTAACTTTTATTTAACAGAAGTTCCATTTCAGCAACAATACATGCAAATCAGATAAAAAACATAGGAAGTTGGATCCTACTGTGATTAATTCCATCAAATTTTCCAGTAAGGCTTAAAAAGATTAAGTCAGAAAAGAAAAGAAAAAAAACCAAAACGCTTTTATAGCTATATCAAATCATGGAAAGAAGCCCAGCCTCAAAGGAAAATATCATAGAAAATGATGAACTAAAAACAGAGGATGGTAATAGTCGCTCTCACATAGCCTTAATTATAGTGTTCACTGTTACCAACACTGTAATTCATTAACCTTGTCTCTCATAGGCCTGGTAGAGGCTCAACCACTGTGTGAACTAAATAGATAATTGAATTAAAAAGATTCCCCATCAGATCTACTTTAATATCTCATTAAATTGGGTTTTATCATCAGTTTTTGATTAGTGCAATTGTTCGGGTGACTTTTAATAGCTGATAAAGTTATGAAAATATACACATTTGCCCAATGAGCAGTAAAGGACTGTTCAGAGCACAATTTAAGCACATGTCAGAAATACTTCCTTTCCTGTGGCATTTTAGATGCTTCTTAATGTGTTAACAATAAAGTAGGGTAAAAGAATGAACCCAAATCTTGCAAATCTGCCCCTCAAACAACTCACCTCTCCTGGGGCCTGTAACCGGCTGCCTTTCTGTTTTTCCGGCCCAGTCCCTGCTGCAAGGCCAGTGTCTGAGATCCTCACCGTGGTTGGGGTGGAGCTGGCGGTAGTGACCACAGCTGCTGAAGCCACCATGCCCTGGCCAACTTGTTCCAGTGTTTTTCCTGCCTCTTTGTTTTCGGCTCCACCCACCTCTGTCGCCAAAGGTGTCTGACCTGTGGCTGTAGAATATGGCGTGAAAGGTACAGGTGTGTCCCCACCTACAGGCTCATCCTGTACCACCAGAGTCCTGCCGTTTTCTTTGGTGTAAGTGGCAAAGCGAATGTTGCGGTTAATCTGGGGGACAAATGTAGTCGGTGGCTGCTTGGCTCTCTGATCCAGCCCTGGCTCTCCACTGGCATTCCCTCCTTTCCAGGGCCCTCGGCTCGCCTCACCTCCATCGCTCCCATTACTGTCTACTTCACCCCTGTCTCCTTTTAATTTCTTTGATGCAGGGTCACACCCAGAGTCCGAAGCACTTTTCCTCCTCCGGCCATCTTTCCCCTCTATGCTCTCTCTCTTCTTCTTTCCTTTGGAAGATTTTACTGCTTTTAACGTACCCCCCTACAAAACAAAATTCAAAAGAGATTTATTACAAGGAACCTTCCATCCTGTGAAAACCATAAACCATTAGCTCTTTCCCATCTCTAGAAGCAGACAATGAAAGCAGGCAGATTGCTACATTCCAATGCCAGCTCTAAGACATCCCCTTAGTCAGAAAGCTCCAATCTTCCTGTGACTCATTTTACACACATATTCAAGATAAGAGTTACTACAAGTTCACTCACTTGGCAAACCCTCCCCTTAAATAAAATGCTTCCTCAAATGGACTTTTTTGAGGGCTTTAAAAATTTGTGGAATTTCTTTTATAAAACAAGACTGCTATTGCTAGGCTGGGAACTCAATTGCCCCTTGATGAAAAAAAAATCTGCTTTCTTTCATATTTTTCTCCTTGTTTGCCTGACAATCGCATTTCAAGTATTGAAATATAAAAATCTCCTCTATCCAGCAGTCACTAAAAAACTGGGGACAACTTAGCAATAAGACGACTAACAGTGGTGAGTCTATGACCAAAGGAAAAGTGAGCCCAACAAAGACAAGTGTGGATTGCTCTTGTGGACACTATAAATACTCAAACAATTTCCAGAACTTGTTTCAAAGTATTAGACACAGGAAAGCAAAAAAGGGAGGCTACCACAGACCATACAGCCAAATCCCGCAGCTTTTCCAATAATTTCAGCCCATTTTATGAAATCTTACTTATGTCTTATTTGAGAGGCCTAACAACCTTAAAAGATAGATTAGGAGACATGATTCCTATCTCTGAATAAACTCCTCCCCCGACAAGAGCATGGGGAAAGGGGCTAGGAACACAGTACCATTCTCTCAAACAATCTTTGTGCAGCAAGAACTTATGTCTAGAACATTCTTAGATTGGTATCCCACCATGAAGCAATTTTTTTTTTTTTTTTTTTTTTTAGCTTTATTCAGTTAACTTTCAGAGAGTTTTACTCAAATAACATGTGTTGGGCTGGTAATAAGCTAGTGATATGTAGTTATTTAGCCATTAATATTTACCAACTTCATTAAACTGCTCTTAATGCTCTTGAATATTTATAGAATCTTTGAGCAGATCTATATTTTTATTGTAACCATTACTATAGTTATAACTGTAACTTTTTCAAATTTTATATTTCATCTTGCCAGTTCTAGCTTTTGTATTCTCTCTCTTTTTTGCTGCCTTCATTTGCATCTTTTCTCCTTAATTTCCTTCTACTGCTCTTAACCAAACCCAAGATTTACTCCTGTTCCCCCCATACTGCTGGTAGTCTGCTGTGGAAACCACAGATCTTCTATCCAACACATCCAGCCAAGTTGCTGATCTTGGCTCACAGCAACTTCCCTGAAATTATATGTATGTCCTACTTACAGTGAGCTCCTCACATGTGAGTAGATGGCATAAGACACTGAGACTAGTACTCTCCAGCTATATCTGACCAGCTGAATAGTGGCTGGCATGTAAGTAGTAGTTAATGAATGAATGAAATAAGCAAGGGAATAAGAAAGGGGCCCAACACACCCTCAAAGTAAAAAGTGTTTTCAGTCATGTTTATAGTCAAAAGGCATATCCTACTTGTGGCAATATAACATGTAGTGAAAAGCTATTGAATTCAACCCTGATTCTTCTTTTCCTAATTTGATCTTGTTATATCAAGTCAAGAATGACTGGATAAATGTGAAGAAATGTATACTTACTTAGCAGGAGTGGCCAAGACAGCAATATTACAGAGATGCTAAGAGACTGTCAGGAATATGTGGATAGATGGCTGTCATACTCAATGTCTTACTGAAGGAAATTCAAACAGGATTCCTGATTGATTTAGGTACTGATTTATTATGTATCTTTATTTGGGTTATGATAATTCTGAATGAACCAAGAGCTGGCCTGGTTCACAGTAATTATGGAGTAATCCACTGTGTGCTGAGCACTGAACTAGGCACCTGTTTGATTTGAGTTTTCTTGTAGTACAAAATTTCAGACTTCTTGGAGCTCACTACCACCTAATGAAAAGAAAAAGAGGATGCATCTTCTCCATTTCTTATTACTCGATGGGTTATAAATATTACTACTGCTTATTACAGCTTTAACTGTCTAGTGTATCTTTCAAATATATCTGTCCTGAATGACTGTAAAAAGAAATAGTTACGCCATGGATTTTAAAAAGGCTAGGCAACACAGTCATGATTAAAAGGATTTTCTTAGATTACAACTCCTGCTTGAGACTGTATTTTCCTTAAGTAGATAAGACTGTGGTGAGAGCAAGAAATGTACAGTGGCCAGAATGGAGACCCAAAGGGCATCCATGGATAACACACACATGAGGAATCTGCATAATAAGATAAAGAAAGCTCATGAGTCTCAGAGACTCAGTTGATTACTGTACCTCGCTCTGAGTAGTTGAATTATCCATCAGCATCACATGGATCAGTCTGGGATCTACGGACTTGATCTCACCACTCTAGAGTAGGAGAAGGATAGCAGAAAATATGAAAAAGGGGAGGAAAAAGATTTAAGCCCTGTCCAAAGACATAATTATGTATTTTTTTAATCCATGTAATTATCTATTTCTACTCCCCCAATAGAATGAAAGCTCCATGAAACCAGGAATCCCTGCAATCTCATTCACTGCCAGAATAACAACATCCAAAACAAGGTCTAGAATACAGTAAGCACTCAAATATTTGTTACATGAATGAAAGAATTGAGCTCAATGACCAAGTGTCTCTTTTAGAGACGTTAATTTCAAATTCTACATCTCTAAAATCTTCCTATTCTGTACATATCAGAAAGTAAAAACCTACAGAATCAAGTCATTAAAGGAATCACTTTACTAATAAAGAATAAAAGTATTAGGGAGCAGCCAAGTTGACAGACACTGTCAGATTTAATGTGCATATCCTATGATCTAGAAATTATGTATGTAAAAACTTATTCCAATAAACAATGTGTGGCAGTATACAATGATACCTATTCAAGGATATTCACTGCAGCATTATTTGTATTACTAAAAATAATGGCAATTATGTAAATGTCCACCAATTTTAGATTAAATTAGTTATGACATACCCATTCAGTAGATAAGGCAAATTTCTATGTATATTTACAAGAAAGATATTGATAATTTACAGTTATGTAAAAAAGGTAAAGAACTATATATGTATGGTATAATTCCATTTGTTAATAAAGTATGGTTCATGTATATATATCACATAAATAGATAACATACAAATATTACACATACACACAGAAGATATTTGGAAGAATATAAAAAATACATACCAAACTGTTAATGGTGGTTACCACTGAGGGGAGTGATATTTCCCTGAGGGAAGGGGTGGCTTCCAATATATACTTTATATACGTGTATTTTTGAAATTTTAAAATGAAGATTAATTAGTAATTTTTTTGAAAACTCAGTAAAAAATTAAGTAAAATCATTTATGCTTACATTATATGTGGTTAAGAACAACTCTGAAACCAATTCAAAGATAAATACATTTATGTTTGCCTCAAAACACTCATCTAGGGGTGCCTGGGTGGCTCAGTCAGTCAAGCCCATCCACCCTCAGCTCAGGTCATGATCTTGCAGTTCAAGAGTTCAAGCCCCACGTCGGGCTGTGCTGACAGCTCAGAGCCTAGAACCTGCTTCAGATTCTATGTCTCCCTCTCGCTCTCTGCCCCTCCCTCGCGCTCTCTTTCTCTCTCTCTCTCAAAAATAAGTTAAAAAAACCCATTCATCTATTGTTTTTCTGAGACAATTCTCCAGGTCGCTCTAGATACGTTCACCGTCCAAAGGGGAGTGGCATAAGCATTACAAAGCAAATGCTAACTGACTAGATTTTAAACTACTAACCTTTATGGATATGATAAAATAATGATAATTCTACTTCACATTTTTACACTGTTTTACAGAGTGCAAAGCACGTTCAGATCTACTATCCCAGTTCCCAAAACAGTGCTGAGGTGGGGCTGGGGGATTACCTAATTATCTCTTAATTTACAAATGAGAACAAAGAGGTTAAGAAATTGAATAGCCTTTCTCAAGATCATACAGTCATTAAGTGAAAGAGCTGGAGACAGAACCTAAGTCTTCTTACATATAGCTAAATGCTCCCTTTCTCTACACCACCCTCTGTAAGAGGATGGATGAATCGTAAAGGAAATAACCCCAAACCTCACCTCAGTTACAGACACTTCCATAAGACGGGTGATGGAGTCTTGATGGCTTACAACACCACAGAGCCAACTTTCTTCCCCCTCTGGCTGGTATACTTTGACCCTGTGACCTTGAACACTGTAGGGACCTACAGGAGAGATCAGTCAGTACTGAAAATGTTTGGCAAAGTTATAATTCATGGTTCTTTCTAAAAGCAGAAAGAAAACTTTGGTGTAAATATTTAGCACTTTCACTTCTCTTGTATAGAGCTGAATAAAATGGTTATTAAGCCACTTAAAAACAAAATAATTTTTCCTCATGATCTTTGTAAATTCTATGTGGAGATTCTGTAGCATTCCAAATCTGATTTCACCCTATCTGAATCTTCCAATTCTAGAAGGAATAGAAGGAAGACAAAACTTACAAACAAAAACTACAGGTAGTAAGAAAATTTATCAGACGTATCTCATCTGATATACACATATAAAAAAAATGGGAGGTCAGTGGGGCGCCTGCGTGGCCCAGTTGGTTGAGTGTCCAACTTTTCATTTCAGTTCAGGTCATGATCTCACAGTTCGTGGGATCGAGTCCCAAGTCCAGCTCTGCGCTAACACTGCGGAGCCTGCTTGGGATTCTCTCTCTCTCTCTCTCTCTCTCTCTCTCCCTCTCTCTCTCTCTCTCCCTCTCCCTCTCTGCCCCTCCTTGGCTGGCGCGTTCTTTCTTGCTCTCAAAATAAATAAAAAATTAAAAACAACAAAAAAGGGAGGTCAGTAAGTTGAACATACTATTTTGTCATGTGACCATAGGAATGTTAGATAACCATCTGTACTCTGCTGACTTTCAATAGCAATAGGTGGAGAGTTCCATTTATGAGGTCTCCAGACTCTGCACTAGTAATAGTCTGAACAAACATAGCACCTGCCTTCCTAGGAAAACAAAGTTTTAAAGACATTACTTTATCAGCAGGTAATGTTACCCTGCAATTTCATTTGCCCTCCAAGAAGGACAGTTTCTCTCCTCTGCATTATCTCACACATTTGAGACTATATAGTTAAGTCATCACTTATTTTAAATTATTATTATCTCTCACAACTATAATGAAGCTTCCTCAATGTTTCTCTATGTATCCACGTACATATTCACTTCTCATTCTGTCCAGTTTTCTTCTATCAAGTTTTTCTCACATTCTTTCCTCCTTCATATCTTTCCTTGACCATTAAACATCACTTTATGCTGATACTCTCCTTCTCCAAATAAGCCAGTTTTCCTACTTTTACCCATTCAGATACAGTTTGACAAAGAGAACCAAGGACCCTGTTTCACTGAAAATCATGATTTTCAAGAGGCTCAGAAAAAAAGAGGAGATGTGCAACACGAAGGGAAGGATAAATATTCTTTATGTAGACTCTTGGGCAAAATCTGTATCTGAACTGGAAACAGCTAATGATTCTTTTAATTCTTAAAAAAATAACATGTTGTTAATGTGAACGAGTCTGTGGATATCTTCTTTTATGAACATGTACCTTGCACTCTAGGTTGTTATTTATGTTACTGGTCTTTTTAGTCCTTAGGAACCTCACAGACACTGAGCTCAATAAGGGCAGAGGTTTTCTAGCTCTAGTTCCTTAACACTGTGTTTAGTACAAGATTTGTCCTTGGTAACTATTTAGGAAATGGAAAACAAAACAAAACAAAACAAAACTCACAACAAAACTGGATATTATGAAATGTAATTTAAAGAGGTAACTGTGGTCTGAGTGAGATTCTATTTTTCCCATCTATTCTAGAGATCTTGCTAACTGGAAATACTCTGATGGACTCACCCACAAGAAGAAACACAAATGTTTAGAGTTGCATGGTGTCCTTCCCATTCTATCACTTCAACACTGACCACACACCTGATTCAGGATTCAAGGACAGAAGACTGCTTGTTCTTACCTCGACTGAATATCTCTTGTAGCTTCTGGTCACTGATCAAAGCATTAACTGTTTCCCTCAGTGCAGCATGTTCCAAAAGAATCTGGTTTTGGCTATCTGTTCCCATCTGGTAAAGACAAACAAAGAAAACAACCGAATATTAAAATAAATAGCAATATCTAACCAGGTGAGAAAATCATACCCTTGAGGAGCTCTATACTGACAGTGCCAAAGAATGTTTTTTGTTTTTTGTTTTTGTTTTTGTTTGTTTTTTTAAATTTATTTTGAGGGAAAGAAAGAAAGAGAGCGCGAGCAGGGATAGAGGGAGAAAGAGAATCCCAAGCAGGCCCCGCGCTGCTAGCACAGAGCCAGATGCGGCTCAAACTCACAAAACTGTGAGATCATGATCTGAGCCAAAATCAAGAGTCAGATGCTCAGCCAAGTGAGCCACCCAGGCACCCCACCAAAGAATGTTCTGTAGAACCCTAGTCTCATGAGATGTTCTGCAAAAAATGATGCTCGGATCATTTAATTATAGGAAATACTATATACTCTATCTTTCTATATGTTGTAGCAGATGAAAGGCTCTGACAAGACATGTAAAAAAAAATTTGTTTAGGTTTCTCACACATATATGACCACAAAATATTTTATACCATGTAAATCTTTTGGTATATGTTGATATTTATTCAACATTTACTGAGTGCCTACTCATATAAACACTAAGATTGCAAAGATGAATAAAGTAAGGGTGGTGAGAGGGAGTGAGGCCAAAAGAGAAAGGAAGACATATCAGCAAAGAAATCATCACTAATATTTCACACAACACAGTTAAGGAAATACTGTTCTTGACTGCCTCAATAAAACAGCAAAACTTAGAAGTTTCCTAATTTTTAGCCTTCAGACAATAAATCTTACAAGTGAGAAATAAATATTACCATCCAAAAATTTTCAAACTCTAACTCAGATGCTAGTTTGTTTAAACTACTAATTTACCCCCTTTCTTTCTAAGTAGAGATACACCTAAGCTCTTTAATATTAAATGCTGCTTGGAATAAGCCCAAACTCCCAGCCTCTCTGCCAATGACCTAAGTATAAGCCCCCTCAAGTTATACAAGCAGCCACCTCTGTGAAACCACCTTCTGAGGAGACCCTTAGAATTGTGGTCTTTGGGGCACCTAGGTGGCTCAATCAGTTAAGCATCCAACTTTGGCTCAGGTCATGATCTCACAGTTCATGAGTTTGAGCCCCATGTCAGGCTCTATGTTGACAGCTCAGAGCCTGAAGCCTACTTCAGATTCTGTATCTATCCCTCTCTGCCCCTCCCCTGTTTGCTCGCACGCACTCTCTCTCTCTCTCTCTCTCTCTCTCTCTTTCTCTCAGAAACAAAATGAAAACATTAAAAAAAATAATAATAATAAAAAGAATTGTGGTCTTAAGTCTTAAGTGGTTTCAAGGTAGGGTGGGGTGTGCTGAAGAGGAAACAAGTCTCAGCCACTGAATGGACTTTCAAGGTAGCAGAAAAGCTTTAAAATGCACAGGGAATTAACGGAAGCACTTGTTTCAATACTAAAAGAAAAGGGGAAACATATTTATAATCAACAAACAAATTAGCAAGGAGGGAAATAAGTTTAGGACTAGAGGAAGTATTAAGTACCTGAAACAGATGCAATCCATTAGCATCTGACAGGAAACGAAGCTCTCGATCCAAAAGGTATTCAACTGGAACCACAGAACCCAAACCAAGTTTATCTACTAGGGGAGTGAAAGTCTGTGAAACAGAAATGACAAGAAATTGATTAGAACTTGGAAAAGAAAATAAGTAACAATTCATCCACATCTCTAACTTCAAAGACAGTATCCATCATTAATATATCTTTCACCCCAGTAAATACAGATAAACTAAAGCATAAAACATTCCCAACCCATCATCTACCCCACAAATAATCATAGGAAGCAAACTAGAGCAGAAACGCAGCCCAATACTCCTATTTACAGCTGAAAAGGACACAAAGAATAAGAAATTCCCAATTACCTCTAGGGATCTGACTAATCTTGCCAGGCTTCAAGAGGGCTAAATTACAGTAAATTCCCAAAATAAAGACTTACAACATTATCGTCTCTAGAACTCCTAAAATCTTTGGGAGATATGTAAAATAATCACTGGTATAAATGCTCATGGGTGAATTCATATTGCTGTCTCATAAATGAATAGCCTATAAAAGTCACCCGGGGCCCATGTCCATTTGAGCTTCTTCCAAAAGTTCAATTGGAAATGGACTTAAAAACAAACAAAAAAGGGGGTGCCTGGGTGGCTACATCGGTTAAGTGTCCAACTTCGGCTCAGGTCATGATCTCATGGTTCGTGCCCTGAGTCGGGCTCTGTGCTGACAGCTCAGAGCCTAGAGCCTGCTTCAGATTCTGTGTCTCCCTCTCTCTGTCCCTCCCCAACTCACACTCTCTCTTTCAAAAATGAATAAACTGGAAAAAACAAACAAACAAACAAACAAAAAAAAACAAATGAAAAAGGAGAGTATAGTAAATGATGTTACATATAATCAATTAAGTAGAAAATTTGCTTTGAATATTATTTATTTGATCTGGTTCGCCATAGAAGTAGGTTTTTTTTAAATGTAGCCATTTATGCCTTTACTTTGCTAACAGGATAGAAACAAAAGGATACTCTCAATGAAATTTATGGCATTATTTTGTCAAACTTCAGGAAACAAAACTTAATAACAATAATAAAGCACAAACAACAAAAGCAAAAATAAATAAGTGGGGCTATTACATACTAAAAAGTTTATGCATAGCAAAAAAATGATCAGCAAAATGAAAAGGCAACGTAAGGAATGAGAGAAAATATTTGCAAATCATGTATCACACAAGAGGTTAATATCCAAATACATATATAAGGAACTCATACAACTCAAAAGCAAAAGACCAAATAATCTGACTTTAAAAATGGGCAAATCACCCTAAACAGACATTTTTCCTAAGAAAATATACAAATGGCCGATAGGTATATAAAAAGGGGTGAACAACACTAATTATTAGGGAAATGCAAATCAATACCACAAGAAGCCATCACTTCACACCTGTTAGAAGACCTATCATCAAAGACAACAAAATAAGGGCTGGCAAGGATGCAGAGAAAAGCAAACCCTTTTGCAGTTGGTGGGACTATAAATTGGTGCAGCCACCATAGAAAACAGTGTGGGGGCTCCTCAAAAAATTAAGAGCAGAACTACCATATGATGCAGCAATCCCACTTCTGAGTATGTATCTGAAGAAAATGAAATCACCATTTCAAAGGATTATCTGCACACCCACATTCACTGCAGTGTTATTCACAACAGCTAAGATATAGAAACAACCTAAGCCTCCAGTGATGGGTGAATGGATACGGGGAATGATGTGAGGTGTATGTGCATGCACGTGCACGCGCGTATGCACACACACACACACACACACACACAGAAATATTATTCAGTCATAAAAAAGGAGGAAATCTGGGGTGCCTGGGTGGCTCAATTGGTTGGACGTCCGACTTCGGCTTGGGTCATGATCTCATGGTGAGTTCGAGCCCCATGTAGGGATCTGTGCTGACAGCTCAGAGCCTGGAGCCTGCTTCAGATTCTTTGTCTCCCACTCTCTTTGTCCCTCCCCGACATGCTCTCTGTCTTTCTCTCTCTAAGATAAATAAACATTAAAAAAAAAATTAAAAAAAAAAAAAAGAGGAGGAAATCCTGCCATTTACAACATGGATAAAACTTGAGGGCATTAAACTAAGTGAAATAAGTCACAAATGCAAATGAAATATTGTATGATTTCACTTACGTGTGAAAAAAAAAAGAACTCCTAGAGTAGATCTATAGTTCCTATGGGTGTGGGCAGTGGGGAATGTGAAATGTGGTGAATGTGGTCAAAAGGTACAAACTTCAGTTATAAGTTCTGGGGTTCTAACATACAGCATGGTGACTATAGTTAACAATGATGTGGGGCGCCTGAGCGGCTAGGTTGGCTAGGTCCTCCGCCTCTCAAAAAGAAATAATTAAACATTATTTTTTTTTTAATTTTTTTTTCAACATTTATTTATTTTTGCGACAGAGAGAGACAGAGCATGAACGGGGGAGGGGCAGAGAGAGAGGGAGACACAGAATCGGAAACAGGCTCCAGGCTCTGAGCCATCAGCCCAGAGCCCGACGCGGGGCTCGAACCCACGGACCGCGAGATCGTGACCTGGCTGAAGTCGGACGCTTAACCGACTGCGCCACCCAGGCGCCTCTAATTAAACATTATTAATTAAACATAATTAAACATTAAAAAAACAATAATGTACACTTAAAAGTTGCTAAGAAAGTAAATCTTTTCTTTCTTTTTTTTTTAAGTTTATTTTGAGAGAGACAGAGAATGCAAATGGGTGGGGGGGGTCAGAGAGAGAGGGAGAATCCCAAGCAGGCTCCACGATTTCAGCACAGAGTCCATTGCAGGGCTCGAACTCACAAACTATGAGAACAGGACCTGAGCCAAAAACAAGAGTCAGATGCTCAACTGACTGAGCCACCTAGGCACCCCAGAAACTAAATCTTCAAAGTTCTTACCACATACACACAAAATGTTAACTCTGTGAACAGTGGATGTGTTAACTAACTTTATTGTGGTAATCATTTCACAATATATATCAAAGTATTATATTGTTACAAACTTGCACAATGTTATATGTCAATTTTACCTCAGTAAGGCTGGGGAAAAAAAATAAGAGTTCTTATGGAAAGAAAAGGCTTTAAGGATTACAAACATTGTTTCACAACCTTACATGAGAAAACACTAAGGTGAAAAAATTCTTTAGAAATAAAAGTATCAAATATTATCGAATACAGCACTGGCACAAAAAAAGACATAGAGATCAACAGAACAGAATAAAGAGCCCAGAAACAAACCCATGCTTATAGCTTATATGATCAATTAATCTCTGAGACAGGACACAAGACTATACAATGACAAAAAGACAGTCTCTTCAACAAATGGTGCTGGGAAAACTGGACAGCTACATGCAAAAGAATGAAACTGGACCCCTCTCTTACAACATATACAAAAATAAACATCTAAAGGTAAGACCTGGAACCATAAAACTCCTAGAAGAAAAACAAGGCAGTATTTTGTAGACATTGGTCATACAAACATTTTTCTCAATACATCTCAGCAAGGGAAACAAAAGCAAAAATAAACTATTGGGATTTTACACCAAAATAAAAAGCTTTTGCACAGCAAAGTAAACCACCCAAAAAATGACATGGCAACCTACTGTATGGGAGAAGATACATAGAGAATGATATACTTGATAAGGGGTTAATATCCAAAATATGTAACACCAGCAACTGTCCAAATAATCCAGTTAAAAATGGGCAGAGGACCTGAACAGACACTTTTCCAGAGAAGACATGTAAATGGCCAATAGGTGCATAAAAAGATGCTCAACACCACGAATCATCAGGTGAATGCACATCAAAACCACAAGATACCACCTCACATCTATCTGTCTGAATGGAGAGTATCAAAAAGTGTTGGGTTGGAGGTGGAGAACAAAAACTCTCCTGCACTGTTGGTGGGAAGATAAATTAGTGTAACCACTGTGGCAAATAGTATGGAAGGTCCTCAAAAAATTAAAAGTAGAATTACCATATGATCCAAGAATTCCACAACTAGGTGTTTACCCAAAGAAAACGAAAACACAAATTTAAAAAGATACATGCACCCCTATGTTTCCTGCAGCATTATTTACAACAGGCAAGACATGGAAGCAATTCAAATGTCTATCCATAACTGAATAAAGAACACACACACACACACACACACACACACACACACAGAAATATTATTCATTCATAAAAAAAAGAATGAGATCTTGCCATATGCAACCGCATGAATGGACTCAGAGGGTATAATGCTAAGTGAAATAAGTCACAGAAAAACAAATGCCATATGATTTCACATATATGTGGATTTTTTTTTAACTGTTAATTTATTTGGAAGAGAGTGAGAGAAAGAGCACACATGCGAGCGTGCCAAGATGGGTAGGGGCAGGGAGAAAGGGAGAGAGAGGATCCCAAGCAGGCTCCACACTATCAGGGCAGAGTCCAGCACAGGGCTTGATCTCCTGACCAGTGAGATCATGACCTGAGCTGAAATCAAGAGCTGGATGCTTAAATCGATTGAGCTACTCAGGCACTCCACATTTGTGGAATGTAAGAAACAAAATAAATGAACAAAGAAAAAGAGACAAAAACCCCATACTCTTTAATACAGAGAACTGGTGGTTGCCAGAGGGGAGATGGGTGGGGCCATGAGTGAAATAAAGAGGATTAAATTTATGGCATTATTTTGTCAAACTTCAGAAATACTTATCACTACGAGCACTGAGTAAATGAATAGAATTGTTGAATCATTATAGTGTACACCTAAAACTAATATAAACACTGTATGTTAATTATATTTCAAAAACACAAAACAAGTTCAGAAGACACAGTTGAAAAGATCTCCCACTTTCTGCTTCAGTAGCATCAGAATAAAAGTATGTTAGGAATATACATGCTTTGGGAACTCTAAAGAGTTCAGCTATTTTTTTAAAATATTTATTATTCTTGAGAGATCTACAGAGCATGAGCAGGGGAGGGGCAGAGAGAGAGGGAGACAGAGAATCTGAAGCAGGCTCCAGGCCAGTCTGACCTGTCAGCACAGAGCCCGACGCGGGGCTTGAACCCACAGACCGTGAAATCGTGACCTGAGCTGAAGTCAGACACCTAACTGAGTAGCCACCCAGGCGTCCCAGGAGTTCAGCTATTGGATAAATACCATAGTTACAGTTATAGTACAGGAGTAAAGCTCAAATATGTTCGTAGGCAGTAAGTCACTCACCAGGGCTGGCCACTGTGCAATTGAGACTCGAGTACCCTGGACAAGGACTGGGTCCTTCCGGGGTGCCCACACCAGAGACCCTTCCAGCAGAAGCACAATAACTTCTTCAGCATGAACTTTAACCCAGGAGTGCTGCTTCCAGTTACAGCCATCAAATTCTACAAAGATCTGCAAAAAGAGATAAAAAGGAGTTTGGAGGTCACATCTGGAAAAATCCCACAGTATAATCTATAAACAGACATAAACTGTGACTAGGAAAAATTCTAATTTGTTTTTAAGTCCTTTTGATGAATTTCAATAAAAATCCATCTTATTTCAGAGCAAGGAAGCTGATCTCAGCTTCACTTTGAAAAGGGTAGCAGAGTTAAGGGGGCACATCCACAGTTAGCAATTTTTAGCTGTTATCCTATTGAAATTTGTAACTCTTGGTTTCCAATTTACATCTATGCACACCAGCTAGGAGCCTACTATGTATGAGACACCATGCTAGGGTCAGAAATAGAGAAATCTAGCACATTTCCTGGTCTTAAGGAGCTCATAGTCTAACAGGTTAGAGAGAAATTCTTTACACTTGTACTGCGTATGACAGAACTTTTTTTTAAATGTTTATTTATTTATTTATTTTTGAGAGTGTGCAAGCAGGGGAGGGGTAGAGAGAGGGGGACAGAGGTCCAAAGCAGGCTCTGTACTGACAGCAGTGACCTTGATGCAGGGCTTGAACTTACAAACCTTGAAATCATGACCTGAACAGAAGTCGGATTCTCAACTGAGCCACCCAGGCACCCCAGTGAACTTCTTTGAGGAATTTTTTTGAATAGGTGATATATGAACATGATATAAAATTCAAAGGATGAACACCAAAAAAAAGGTTCCTTCCCAGTTCTGCATGTGGATTTTTTAACTGCCCCTGCCAGGAGTGATCTCATATCTGTTAGAAGAGGCATGCTGTCAACATCAACAATACTTCGCTTCCTTCCAGCAGAGATACTCTACTTTTTGAGATATAGTTACATAGACAGTGCAGAAAGTTTTAAAAAGTGATTCAGATTAAACAAAACTTCATTTTTCTTTTTTCTTTTATTTCATTTTATTTTACTTTAGAGAGAGAGAGACAGTGCGAGCGGGGGAGAGGGGCACAGGGAGACAGCTCCACACTGAGTGTGGAGCCTGACGCAGGGCTTGATACCACATCCCAGGAATCATGACCTGGGCCAAAATCAAGAGTCGGACGCTCAACCTACTGAGCCACCCAGGCGCCCCTAAACCACATTTTTCTTTTTTTTTTAGTTTTAATTTTTAAATAATATTTATTTTTGAAAGAGACAGAGAGAGAGAGAGAGAGTACACCCGCAGGAGCAGGGAAGAGGCAGAAAGAGTGACACAGAGGATCCGAAGTGGGCTTCATGCTGACAGACAGCAGAGAGCCCAGTTTAGGGCTTGAACTCCTGAACTGTGAGGTCACAAACTGAGCCGAAGACAGCCACTTAACCGACTGAGCCACCCAGGTACCCCAAAACTACATTTTTCTAATAACTAGTATGCTTAGGTTTGGCTTTTCTATATAAATTCTGAGTATGTTTCACATGCGGCATAAAGAGCAAGACATATGCATACAGGTATCAATAGTTAGCATAGAAATACCCAGGACTTAAATTATAGCTGGTGATAGAAAGACTATTTTATTCATAGCCCCTTCATTTTCATAGAATTTTAGTTGGTTTTTGAGAAGCACATGCAATAAAATGACAAAATACAAATGAAAAAAAAAAAAATCAAGGCCAAGCAAACTACAACAAGAAGTCACTATGAAAGTGTAAAAGGGAAAACTTAAGCTGGCCACGAGGATCTATACAGCTGTATGACTGAGTGATACACGTGCCTCTGAGCTTCCTAAAGGACAATTTGAAAATGAGGAGGTTAGTTGCATAGTTTCCACTGTCAGCATCTTTTTTTAAAAAATTTTTTGGTAATGTTTATTTATTTAAAATCGAGAGAGAAGAAGATAGAGTGTAAGCGGGGGAGGGGCAGAGAGAGAGGGAGACACAGAATCCCAAGCAGGCTCCAAACTCAGCTGTCAGCACAGAGCCTGACCCCGGGCCTGAACTCATGAACTGCGAGATCATAACCTGAGCCAAAGTTGGACACTGAACAGACTGAACCACCCAGGTGCCTGGTTTTTTTTTTTGTTGTTGTTGTTTTTTAATTAAACTCTGCACCCAACACGGGGCTTGAACTTACATGCTCTACCAACTGGAGGAGCCAGGAGCTCCTCCCACCGTCTAAAAGGAAAACAAAGTAATTATTCAGGGAAGCAATGCTTTTCCAACCTCTTGGCACAATAAGAAATTTCTCACACGAAGCTTCCAGTACATGTATGTACTGTTATTTTTAAAATATGTGTAGATGATACAATGAATAAAATTCAAATTCATTAAAATTGTTACTGAGTTCATATCAGCCTTTCATGGTATACATGTTCTCATCTATTCAACATAAAAATTAAAGGTAAAATTAAATGAAAATCTAGGATACTTACATTCACAAAGTGTGAAAGCACTGTGCAGTAGCCTAGTGTTAGGCTTAATCTCTTCACAGTCAATGCATACTTGTGAATGTGGAGTGCGTTGCTGAAAAGTTATCCCAGAAATCAAATCCACTATATAAAGCTCCAGTTTTATTATTGTAATATACCAAGCTTCACTTCTGATTAAACACACATATACATACCCACCCACACACACAGAGTGGGGAAACAAGGTTCAGAAACAAGAAGCACAATTTTTACTGAGAAAGAAGAGAACAATGAATTGCAATATATTTAATACATGAATGGGCTCACTCATATATACATAAATGTTCCAAGGGAATAAGACACAACTTCCAATAACTTGCAGACCATTGGAAAGAGATAATCAAACTTATACTTATGTGCAGACTCAGGCACCAAGAAAGGTAGTAGCAGCATAATAAACACAGGTTGGGGCTTATGTTCCAGGAGACTTGGATTTGAGTACCAGCTCCACACTATTAAAAAAAATTTTTTTTTTAATATTGGGGCACCTGGGTGGCTCAGTCGGTTAAGCGGCTGACTTCGGCTCAGGTCATGATCTCCGCGGTCTGTGAGTTCGAGCCCCACGTCGGACTCTGTGCTGACAGCTCAGAGCCTGGAGCCTGTTTCAGATTCTGCGTCTCCCTCTCTCTCTGACCCTCCCCCATTCATGCTCTGTCTCTCTCTGTCTCAAAAATAAATAAATGTTTAAAAAAAAAATTTAAAAAAAATTTTTTTAATGTTTATTTATTTTTGAGAGAGAGAGAGAGAGCGAGCAGGGGAGGGGCAGAGAGAGAGGGAGACACACCAGTTGAAGTAGGCTCCAGGCTCTGAGCTGTCAGCACAGAGCCCAACACAGGGCTCGAACCCACGAACCGCGAGATCATGACCTGAGCTGAAGTTGGACGCTCAACCGACTGAGCCACACAGGCACCCTGAGGTCTACTCTATTAACCCCAAAACTTGGACAAGTCACTCTTCCCTCCTCAAGTTTTGGTTTTCTCCCCTGTGATAAGACACACTTGTCTTATCTCATAGACTGGTTGTGAAGTTCAAATAAAGTAATGGATTCAAAAGCATAATATGCCATAAAATAAGGAGAAATAAAGTAAAAAAATCAAGTACGGGGGATGTTCAGAGGCAGGAGAGATCACTTTAAGGGTGCAGAGGGGACTGATATGGGCTGAGCCCCCTACCCCCCCCCCCCAAAAAAAAAGTCCACTCAAGTTCTAGGATGGCCAGGAGCTATATAAGCAGACTGTGGGGGAAGGAGTGAGAGATGAGGCTTAAAAAAAAAACAAAGTCAGTGTGGCAAACCTTGAATACTGGGATAAAAAATTGAGGCTTCATCTAGCTGCCAATGGGAGGGGTGTGTATACGTGTGCATGCACACAAGTGTCATTAAAGGGTTTCTAAGTGAGGTCAAGATATGAACAGAGTAGTTGGTTTTAAGGAAATTCAGCTACTAACCAGTGGATACAGACAGACTGGAGTTGGGGGAAGGTTATAGGGAGTATTCTTACATGACCTAGAGTGGGAGCAGTGAGACTAGGAAGAAAAGTGACTTGTGGTTGTTAAGAATCATCAAGCTTGATAAATGGCTGGATAAAAGGATAAAGGAAAATTTAAAAATGACTTGGATTTTGAACCAGAGTGATACCATTACATAACTGATATCAAGAGGAGGAGATGGCTGGAGGACAGACAAGACCTTGCATGACATGAAAAGCAGCATGGAGTATTAAATGCCCTGGCTGAGTCTGACCCTGAGTACACTACCAGGCATCACTCAGAAAACCAGAGGCTGAGGCTCCACGGTGACTGATGGCAAGGTGCCATGCTGAAACCACTTTAAAAATCAAAGGCGAGTCACAAAATTCTAAGTTATAGCAATACACAAATACAATACTAAAAGAAGTCATTGTACTATAGCTATAACAATTTTTATTGCTTTTACAAAAGAACTTCAACACTCAAAAAGTTAATATTCAGGAATCCTATCATCACTTACCAGAAAACATCAGGGAAAAGTTCAATTACTGAAAAACCAGATTTCACCCAACTTAAAGGAAATAAACTTTCAACCCACCCCAGCAAAGGACATATATGGAATGAAGTGTTTACTTTGACAACAACAACAGTGTTACACATTCTGGGATCAAGCTACAGTTCAAGGCTAACAGTATGAATGTTTGCTATTTTTTTTTTTTAAGTTTATTTCTTTACTTTGAGAGAGAGAGCACGAGCAGGGGTGGAGCAGACAGAGAGAGGGAGAGAGAGAGAATCCCAAGCAGACTCTGCACTGTCAGCATGGAGCTGGATGAGGGGCTTGAATTCACAAACTGCAAGATCAAGACCTGAGCCAAAACTAAGAGTCAGATACTGAATTGGTTGAGCGACCCAGGAGCTCCAATATGAATCTGTTTTAAGAGCAATATGGAATGTGGATATATGTAAGCACGTTCTCTGAACACTAAGGCTTATTTCTGGCCCTAGCACTGTGCTTTACTTCCTAGCTTAGGTAATGGAACAAAGGAGAACATATAAGGTAAACAAAAATTTCATATCAAAGTACCTACAACATGAACTCTTAAAATGGTAGTGGCAAGACCAGAGAAGA